CCAAAAGAAGATGTCGGTAAATTCTACTGTGGATATTGCTGTATAGTACTCTACAATTTTCATGAAAAGAAAGAAGATTAATATCTATGTTGATAAATTAAATGACGAGTTCCTTCTGAATGTCACATAGTTTTGGCTCTTTGATCAACATTTAATTGAATTTAAAATAAGTTATTATTATAAATACAAGTCAGGACAACTCATTGTATGAAATGGTGTTTTCAAAACCTAAAGCTACAAGTCTTCCGTACAACACAACAACATTACAGCAAAACGTCAAACTGGATTATTCATATAATGGAGAAGTCAGGAACATATCAAGAAGGGAGCTTGATGAAGCTCAATTTCAGGAACTCAGAGATTCAGATTATATACTTTTGTGGAATTTATAACTAGATGCGACACAATACATATATTGGAGTTTGTAGTTTGAAATTTTAATGTTCTCTCATTAGGAAATGGAGCAATATAAAATGCCATATGGATAAATGATAATACCAACATAGATAAAGCATTATAAATATGAAGAACAGAACTGCAGTCATAATTTTGAGTGACACGTTTTGTTTTGAGTTACACATTTTGTTCATTTATTTGGTTGTTCTAATTCTGACAGTGGATGATGCCAACATTCCTGCCGAGGTTGAAGTACATATTTGATGTTTATCATCGGCAAGTTTATGACAGTGAATGTCATTTTTCATGTAAGTATACGGATAGAACTTGTGAGTCTCCCTCAATTCTAATTATTGCTTTGTTGAGATTATAGAATTGCAGCACATCAGTGTATTATATCTACCAGTTAGTTAGCTGAGATTGATTGGATAGTTATAAGGGTAGTTTAGTAATTAGATGTTATTAGTGTTTTGTTTTTTAATATACATGTATATATGTACTGTAGTTAATATTTGGTTGTTCTTATTATGACAGTGGATGATGCCAATATTCCTGCCGAGGTTGAAGTTTATATTTTGATGTTTATCATCGGCAAGTTTATGATAGTGAATGTCATTTTTCATGTAAGTATACGGATAGAACCTGTCAGTCTCCCTCAATTCTCATTATTGCTTTGTTGAGATTATAGAATTGCAGCACATCATTGTATTATATTTATCAGTTAGTTAGCTGAGATTGGTTGGATAGTTACAAGGGTAGTTTAGTAATTAACTGTCATTAGTGTTTTATTTTTTAATATACATGTATTTATGTACTGTAGTTAATAAAGAAAAAGAACACACAGAAAATTCTCCAATTTCCTCTCTCTCGAACCTTCCCTTTCTCTCTCTGTAGAAGCTTGAGGACAACCAACAATGGAGGTTGGTCTGTCATGCTAGCTTTACTTTTGCTATGGTATCAGAGCTTAACTCTAATTTCTCAACATAAATCCTCCTAAATTTCATCAATTTCTCTTCTCGATTCTCAAAATCAGCAAGTACAAGCTCACGCCTTGACGGAAGGTTTTCTGAAAATTGTCATCTAATTTCTTCAAATTGAGCAATCAATTACTCCGATCCACTTTAATCGATGGCTGGAGACAAGGAAACTCAAAGTACAACTGGTAATTTGGATTCGACTAACCCACTGTACATGCACCCGTCGGAAAGTGTCGGAACGATGTTAATTCCTATTGTTTTTGACGGAACCGGATACAGATCCTGGAGAAGAGGAGTCCTTATGGCTTTGTCAGTAAAGAACAAAGTCGGATTCATCACAGGAAAGTGTAAAAAGCCTAACACTGATGAAGCGACCTACGATCAGTGGGCTCGTTGTGATGATATGGTTACATCGTGGATTTTGAATTCACTCTCAAAGGATCTAGCTGATAGTCTACAATATGTCAACGACGCTAAGGAGTTATGGCAAGAGTAAGAAGACAGATATGATCAAACCAATGAAGCGAAACTTTATCAACTGCAAAAGAAAATTAGTGACCTTAGTCAAGGGGCTTTGGACATCACAGGGTATTACACTAAAATGAAACGACTTTGGGAGGAATTGAACACCTTGAATGCACATGCACAGTGCAATTGCCAATGCACTTGTGGTGCAAAGGCAAATATGCATAAAGCTGAGCAGGATCAAAGACTAATTCAGTTCCTAATGGGCCGGAATGAAGTTTATACAGTTGTGAGAGGCAGTATATTGATGATGAATCCATTGCCCAGTATAGCTCAGGCTTTCTCTATCTTTATCCAGGAAGAAAAACAGAGAGAAGTCAGACCAAACAACAAATTAGTCATAGAGTCCACCTCATTGAGTGCAAATGGACCCGGCAATGCCAAGTTTAGGACCAATTACAATCAGAGATGAGGTAGTACTGGGCCAAACCCATACAATTCAAACAAATCAAACTATCCAACTGCTAAGTCTCGGATGTTCTGTGACTATTGTAAAAGGCCAGGACACACCAGGGACAACTGTTACAGAATTCATGGTTTCCCACAGGACTTCAAGTTCAAAAAATGGAGAAATGCAGCATCTGCTGCAAATGTTCGTGTAGATTGTGAGTAGATGGAAGAAGGAAATCAAAGTCAGGGACGTTAGAGCCTAACAAAGGAGCAGCACAACCAATTACTTAGCTTACTGGAGAAATTCCGAGGAAGAAACACAGGAGAAGGTCCTAACAACAACATGACTTGTGGAGCTGCAAACTTCGCAGATATTCTAGCTTGCTCTACCTATAAAGAGATTGCTGAAACAACCGTGTGTAGATGTTCTAAATCAATTGCTGACTTGTGGATATTAGATAGTGGAGCCTCAAATCATATGGCATATAGAAAATCCTTTTTAAAGAATATTAGAACCTTGCCCTATACTTTCCTAGTTACCTTACCTAACAGATATATAGTGAAAGTGACAGAAATTGGAGATGCATCTCTTGGTCCTATGCTAACCTTAGTTAGAGTATTATATGTGCCTACTTCCAAATACAACCTCATCTCTATTCACTCCTTAACTGATTACCTCAATTGCATAGTTAACTTAGTAAATACCTTTGCATGATACAAGCCCCTTCAATGAAGAGGCCTCTGGAGATTGGTAAGGCAAGGAGTGGATTATACTTCCTTTGCCCTGAGTGTCATGGGTATTCAGAATCTAATTCATTTTCTGTTCCTGACAATCTTTACTCTCATTCTTGTTTTCCTGCATTGACTGATGTTGTAAATACAGGGAAGAGTCACAATTCACCCATACAATCCTTGTCAAGTGTAAATAAGTCATCTCAGTCACATAACAATGTCAATGTAAATACTCTTCGCTCAAGCAATAAAACTGACTCTTCCTTTAATGTGGGTTCTCTTTTGTTGTCTTCATCATATCATGAAAATAACAATGAGCATCTATGGCATAACAGGCTGGGCCATGTACCCTTTGTAAAAATAAGAACTATCTCCACTATAGCTGTTGAATTTTTCCACAAACAGCCATTCATTTGCCATGTCTGTCCCATGGCAAGGCAGACAAGGTTACCTTTTGGCCAAAGAACTTCATCCACTTCCAGAATATTTGAACTCTTACACATAGATTTATGGGGCCCCTATCACACAACCACACATGACAATTACAAATACTTCCTTACCATGGTTGATGACTTTAGTAGATCAACCTGGACTCATCTCTTAAGTAGCAAAAGTAACACTCTTCAAGACATCAAAGCTTTTATTTCTATGATTGAAAATCAGTTTAGTACATCAGTCAAGACTGTCATGTCAGATAATGGGCTGGAATTTGTGGACAATGAAGCCATGTTATTTTTTCAAGAGAAAGGCATAATCCACCAGAAACTTGCCCATACACACCACAAATACCTGCTAGAAACAGGTAGAGCTTTACTTTATCAATCCAAATTGCCAATGAGATACTGGGGAGAGTGTATACTAACTGCTACATATTTGATAAATAGACTGCCTTCTTCAATTCTCAACAATAAATGCCCTTTTGAGCTCCTTCACAACAGAAAACCAACATATTCACATCTTAGAAGTTTTGGTTGCTTGTGTTATGCCACCACACTCAAAACTCACAAAGACAAATTTGAACCTAGAACCACTCCTCATGTGTTTGTAGGATATCCCTTTGGGACCAAAGGATATAAACTCCTTGATTTAGCCATAAAGAGGGTACATGTGTCTAGAGATGTTATGTTTCATGAAGATGTTTTCCCTTTTGCCATTTCACTTGAACATTCCTTTTCCCCTTATATGTTGCATATGATAAACCACAATTCTCCATGTCCCAATTCCACAGTAAATACACTTGATGATCATTGTAATCATGATAGAGATGCATCAACTTCTGTCACTGAAAGTCCTATATCTGATACACCTGACATTAACCCTTTTGTCAAACTCTACAAGCACACCAAATCATATTTCACATGTAAGCCTAAATCCAGAATCAAATGCTTCATCTGTAGAACACTCAGAACTCCACACTGCACCTTTCAACCAAGCACCACATAACATAGAGCCTAATATTGATCAACCAACCAATCAACATAGAAGATCAAGCAGGACACTTAGCACACCCTCACACCTCAAAGACTATGTCTATACACTGCCCAATTTACAACCAAACAGTCACTTAAACAACAACACAAACCTTGAACATCAATTAGCTCCTGCTTCACTTACTCCTAATTCACTTACTGCCCTTTTCTCCAACAACCATTCTGTGTCCTTCAACACATTGAGCCATGATAGCCAGCAATTAGTTAAGAACATTTCACATGAGTGTGAACCATACTCTTATGAGGAGGCAGCCTTGAATCCTACCTGGCAAGTAGCAATGACACAAGAATTTGAAGCTTTATATACTAACCATACTTGGGATCTAGTTAAGTTACCTGTAGGAAAGAAGGCCATAGGATGCAAGTGGGTGTACAAGATAAAGCACAAAGCAGATGGAAGTGTGGAAAGATACAAAGCAAGGCTTGTGGTAAAAGGATACACACAAGAAGTTGGGATTGACTATACAGAAACTTTCTCCCAGTGGTAAAGATGACCATTGTTAGAGCCCTGATTAGCACTGCAGTAAAGAAAGGATGGGACCTTTATCAGCTGGATGTGAATAATGCATTCCTACATGGAGACCTACATGAAGAGGTATACATGGAAATCCCACAGGGTCTGAAGGTAGAAGACACACAACTTGTCTGCAGACTAAGGAAGTCTTTGTATGGCCTCAAACAGGCTAGTAGAAAGTGGTATGACAAGATGATATAATCCCTATATTCTAGAGGTTTCAGACATTCAACCAATGATTACTCTTTGTTCTACAAAAAGCAAGGTGAGTCATCAGTTTTTGTAGCTATATATGTTGATGATGTGATCCTTAAGGTACTGCAGACTTACTTACATAATCAATTCAAAATAAAAGACTTGGACAAGTTACACTACTTCTTGGGGCTAGAGATGCTTTACAAGGATGATGGAGTGTTGATCTCCCAAAGGAAATTCACCACTGACATACTGAAAGAGTATGATTGCCTGGGGTATTCTGCTGTTTCATCTCCACTAGAGTCTTCAATCAAATTGAGGGCTGAAGAGGGTACTCTGCTGTCTGATCCATCCTATTATAGAAAACTAGTTGGGAAACTCAACTTTCTCACAAATACAAGGCTGGATATTGCATACAGTGTACAATACCTAAGTCAATTTATGCAGGCACCAAGAGAGCCTCACCTGAAGGCTGCTATACATGTACTTAGGTATCTGAAGAATGATCCTACTTTAGGCATCTTTTTGTCCAATGATCCTTCTTACAAGGTCACAGCCTATTGTGACTCAAATTGGGCAGCATGCCCTGACTCAAGAAGATCAGTAAGTGGGTATCTAGTGCTCTTTGGAGGTAGCCCCATTAGCTGGAAATCAAAGAAGCAGACTACTGTCTCACTATCTTCCGCAGAAACAGAGTATAGATCACTGAGAAAGGTGGTTGGAGAGCTGGTATGGGTGCAGAGATTGTTGGAGGAACTCACAGTTCCATGTACTGATCCCATTCAAGTGTTTTGTGATAGCCAAGCAGTTGTACACATTGCTAGGAACCCTGTGTTCCATGAAGGACAAAGCACATAGAAGTCGATTGTCACTTTGTGCGAGACAAGCTACATGATGGTCTAATTACGCTTCATCACATTTCTACTCATGATCAGCTAGCTGATATTTTAACAAAGGCTCTCACAGGAATTAAACATTCAGACCTTCTAGGAACCTCCAACTTGGGGTGGCTGGGGGTGTTGAGATTATAGAATTGCAGCACATTAGTGTATTATATTTATCAGTTAGTAAGCTGAGATTGGTTGGATAGTTACAAGGGTAGTTTAGTAATTAGCTATCATTAGTGTTTTATTTTTCAATATACATGTATATATATACTGTAGTTAATAAAGAAAAAGAACATACAGAAAATTCCCCAATTTCCTCTCTCTCGAACCTTCTCTTTCTCTCTCTGTAGAAGCTTAAGGACAGCCAACAATGTTGGTCCATCATGCTAGCTTCACTTTTGTTATGCTTTGTGATTTTCTCTTTTATAATGATTGCGCTTTTGCGGTTGAAGAATCCCAAACTGGAAAAGCTTCAACGACTTTCGGGGGATTATCTATGAAACTTTTCATATTTATGTTAGACAATCCAATATAACAAAGTTCACTTTTCTACCTACCCAAATATGTCTTCTTGTGGCTCTACAGTCAAATACACAAGGCTACACATATACAGGAAATTTGCCAATAATATGAGATATGGGCTGTCTTTGATCGCTAAAAACACAAAGTGCATCAAGATATTGCCCGACAGAGGCCGTAAAGGAAAAGAGTAAAGAACACAAAGTAATTTTACCATCATTCTTTATTGGTTACTTGCTAAATATGCCATTGGTAGTTGCTGAAAAGAGCGGATTGAAGTATAAATAAAAGAATCTTTTAGTGATAATCCATTAAGGTATAAAAACTGTTTAATTAAAGAATCAAGGATATTAAACATCGAGTTTTTTAAGGCTTGAATAGACGAGTACTTTTTTGGTAAAATTCAGTTCAATTATCTCTCAGGCCCGAGGAACTTTTGGTTCTATCTCACATTGAAAATGCTGTTAGTATATGCCATCCAGGTAATGTAGTAAGTTATTGCACTACTTCTTTATTTACAAAGTGAATAGAGGATTTTCACATAGGTTGCGGTAGGATCTTTTTTGTTTGAGGTAATAGGAATGGCGATCCATGCGAGATAAATTGTTGGTTTTGACTGTTAGAAGCCAATGTGCGACAGGATATGATACAACTGTGATTCTTTCTGAATTACTATGTTGAATGCTGAAATTGATTTTAAGTTTCTGAATTTGTGTTTGATTTCATCAACTGAGGTGAAATTATTTTAAGATTTTTCCCTCCTCTCTATGAACAATAGCTGTAATTTTAATATATTTTTCATAGTAAGGGTAGAGAAGTTATCACTGATTAATTCATTCTCTCTTTAGAATAGAGAAGTCATCACTGAGTAATTCATTCTCTTGGTCAATCTTCTTAGCTGGTATTGGACTCTGAATCCTTCTTGCTTTTCAAGTTAGAATATTTCTTTAGTTGCAATTTTAGTTGATTTCTTGAAGTGAATTTTTTGTTAAATTTAGGTTGTATTTTGTTTTACCATATTGGAAGGACCTAAGTAGAGGGAAAGGAAGAAATAATTATCAGATTGTTGTCTTTTCCTATGTGTTGATTATTATTTTACTTTTCTTAATTAATGCATATGTCGTTCACTTTTTCCTTTTAATTTTTTTTGGTCTTAAAATTTTAACTTAGATTTGTTTTCCTTGTGAGGATTCACTCTACTTATGGTTATGGATGTTTTGAGTACATTTATACCGATGCTAAGAAAGAAAAATATTTTATGGTTAATAAAACTGGAAAAAGTATAGTTGATCTGAATTAGTTTTGAGTTTTGCCCTTATCTAACTCATTGAGATTGTTCTCTGTTATTCCAAAGCATAGTAGATTACTGAAATCTCATCAACTTTGTCAAATGCAATCATCCAGAGTGATTCCCATAAAGGTAAGCAAAAGTAATGCTGCCTTGATTGATTTAACTCTCTACTTATTTGAATTTTAAATTTGGTAAGACTTGTAGATTATAACCTCAATTTCTGTTTCAGGTTCTTTAAGTGGTATCGCAATCTCACGTTTCAAGGAAGAAAGCTAAGAAATAGATAAAGTCATTCTATCTACAAGGTAGTAAATTATTAACTTTTTCTGTGTGATTTGGACGCTTATAATACGATATATACAACAAATTTATTATTAAAATGAAAAAAGAAGAACCGACATAACAAATTGAGTTCAATTCATTTGTTTGGCATGGTTGTCCTTTTGAACTAAATTGCATTATAAAAGTTTGATACATTTGAAGCTTTTGGTCGATGTAGATAGCTCCCACTTTTTATTGAGTATGACATTTTGAATTGTAAATAATTGAACCCATAAGGTTAAAAAGATTTGGATCTCATATGAGATCAGAAGTCTTACTTTATTTATAGTTGTGTCATGCTTTATTTCTTTATTTGCTCGCAAGGTTCAATGTCACAATAATGGTTAAGATAAGGAATGTTGATTTGTAGCAGAAAAATAATTTCATGCTTATTCCAAAGGTTTAAGGTCACTATAATATTAGAGAATGGAGAATGTTTACTTTTTCTTGGTGTTTACTAAATGATTGCAACCTTTAATGAAATGAAACAATTTTCATCTAGCTTTTGAGTGAAGGGAAGAGATGAAATATATGTTTTTATACTCATTCCGAAAAACTTACTAAAAGAATATATTATGATATATGTTTTATTGTTAACATGGTCTTTTGACTTAGAGGCAGCACAATGCAAGTTAAACTTAGAATATTTGTAATACCTTAAACCATAAGGAATGTGTGGGGCAAAAAGTTAACAATTATATAAGGGTTCTAGCTAAAAAAGAGTCTCACTGCATATTGAATAGTGTTGTATTCTGATTTAATAATCAAGATAAGAATACACTTCCATTCTTTGTCATCACTTTTTTTAGAAATCTCATAAACTCAATAGTTTGCATATTGTTATAAAAGTGGGTGGTGTTCTGACATTTTCTATGTCACTAGAAACTTCAAGCATCTACTCCGGGATTCATTGGATAATTCGTTGATTTTTATACAAATCCTCCCTTCTTATAAGGACTAATGAAAAAGTTTAGGTTTATTGAAGTTAGCTACAGGTGGAAGACAGCGAAACTGAGAGATATAGGACTTTCTGCGGTTAGAAATTTCCTCTCTGGCATTATCTTACTTTTGTCTTTTGTAATTTTGCTGCTTCAACCAATCAATGACGGCGTGTACCTCCCAAAATGGTGTCTTAAGGATTTGAGGACGTACTCTGGAGCTTTTGTGAAAAATAATGTTAATTTGAATTGGACAGCATATTTGAGGTTTCTGACATGGTAGCAGATGCACTGAAAATGCCTGAATCTGAAATCATGGACCATATATGAGTGGACTATACTGTTTATTTACATATCTACTTGCTTAGGGTATGCCTTTGTAATTATTTATATGATTTGTATTTCATATGTTTTTTACTCTAGAGACAGTACAATATAAAAGATTGTGGACTCAACTTTTCTTTTATATTTGGCTTGTACATTTATATTTTAATAGCCAAGACACCATGTAAGCTTTTGTAGCCAAAATATGATTGGTGGCTGAAGCATTTGCATGTTATGTATATCTATAACAAATATTAGTCGACTGGCCTTATATAAACTTGGACCAAAGTGAGATGGTTTCCAAATTAAGAGATATCTAAAGTTCTAAACTAACATCTTTGTCCTAAGTTGTAAACAAGTATGCAAGGTAATGTATGAAAGCTTTAGTGGTTTGAAATTTAGAGACAAAATGTAGGACATATGCCCGGGCATAGCACGGGCACACATCATCTAGTTTACTAAATAATTTCGTCATTATTTTATCTTTGTATTGTAATTTCATCAGTATTCAGAAAAAGTTATGGGTGCCAGGCTGCTAGCCGATAAAAATTCCGAAAGAAGAGGGAAAAGGAGTTTAATTATGGGTGCGCACTCAATATTTATCTAAATATTTTTTTAATTGCCTAAGCAAATTTACTAAATCTAATTAAGGGTAATTGGTGTTTGGTGCTTGAGCATCCATAATTATCATGTTGACCTGCCACAAAATCTCATCGTCGTAATTTTGGGATAACTTATTTTCAAATCAAATGACCCCTAAAATGTTACCTTATGAATGGGTCAAAAAATTTAAGGGAGAGCAAAATTAAGGAAATCTTACATAAATGTCCCAAATAATAGCATGTTTGGCCAAACTTCTCCAAGCCAAAGGAATTTTTTTTTAAAAAAAATATTTTTTTTCAAAGTTGAAGTGCTTGGCCAAGCTTTTACACAAAAAAGTACTTTTGAGTAGAAGCATAAGAAGTTTTGGAGAAGCACAAAAAAGTAGTTTCTCTCAAAAAATACTTTTTTGAAAAGCAATTTTGAGAAAAATACATTTAGAAGCAGTTTTTAAAAGCTTGGCCAAACACTTATTGCTGCTCATAAGTGCTTTTCAAATAAGTTTGCCAAACACAAACTGCTTCTCACCAAAAGTACTTTTGAAGAAAGCACTTTTGAGAAAAATCACTTCTCAAAATAAACTGATTTTTGCAACTTGGCCAAACAGGTTATAAGTTCCAACTTTCCAACCTCTAGACATTAATTATAAACTTATCAAAACTAGCCAAGCACATATAAAAACAGAAAACCAAAATAAATAAGATTCTTTCTCTCAAAGAAATACATGCAAGGATCTCATTCCATATTTTAAGCGTGACCAGCAACATTAGATGCAAGACGGAAAGAAAATTTCATGGATGAGGTAGTAAACAAGGTGATGAAATAAAATATATATATATATATACAAGATTCTAAAAATCTAAGCAAAAAGGGATCTTTTTCAATGAGCATGGTTGAACTTAATTGAAAAACGTATAGATGAGTCAATATACAAATTTTAAGGAAGATTGGAGGTGATTTGGACTGAATTGGTATCAAAATTCGTAGTTAAAATCGAGTTTATTTTTTTTTCTTGCAACACATGTATCACACAAGAGGTATACATGAAGATATATGTGATACACATTTGATACAAATATGATACATATGTGATACATCAAGGCTCTATGCTCAGTCCGTTCTTATTCACCGTGGTGATAGACGCGTTAACACACCATATTCAAGGGGAGGTGCCATGGTGCATGTTATTCGCCGATGACATAGTTCTGATTGATGAAACGCGAGCCGATGTTAATGAGAGGCTAGAGGTTTGGAGACGGGCTCTTGAGTCTAAGGGTTTCAAGCTGAGCAGAACAAAGACGGAATACCTGGAGTGTAAGTTCAGCGCTGAGTTAGGGGGAAGTGGGCGTGGATATGAGTCTTGACTCACAGGTCATCCCAAGTAAAGGCAGCTTCAAGTACCTTGGGTCGGTTATCCAGGGGGAATAGGAGATCGACGAGGATGTCACACACCGTATTGGGGTAGGATGGATGAAGTTGAGGTTAGCATCTGGAGTCATGTGTGACAAGAGAGTACCATCGATACTCAAAGGTAAGTTCTATAAAGCGGTTGTTAGACCGGCCATGATATACAAGGTTGAGTGTTAGCTTGTTAAGAATTCACATATCCATGAGATGAAAGTAGCAGAAATGAGGATATTGAGATGGATGTGCATGCACACTAGGATGGATAAGATTAGAAATGATGATATACGGGAGAAGGTGCGCGTGGCTCCCATTGATGACAAGATGCGGGAAGCGAGGCTCGGATGGTTCGGGCATGTACAGAGGAGGAGCCTAGATGCCTCAGAAGGAGGTGTGAGCGGCTGGTTGTGGAGGGCACGAGAAGAGGTAGAGGGCGGTCGAAAAAGTATTGGGGAGAGGTGATGAGGCAGGACATGACGAGACTTTAGATTTCCGAGGACATAGCACTTGATAGGAAGATGTGGAGGTCGAGTATTAGGGTTGTAGGTTAGGAGGTAGTTGGGTCCTGCCTTAGTTCGTACCGTTGTGAGACTAGTCTGGTAGGGTTTTTGTCTAAGCTAGCTAGTGGCAATGTCGTGTCTTGCTATTTTGCGTTTCATTGTCGGACCTATTTACTAGCTATCGCTTTTGCTTTGCATCTTTCTTCTAGATTTCATGTTGTTCTTATTTTTCCTATGATTTATGTGGTGATACTGATATTGTCTCCTTTTGTCTTTTTGTCCTCTTGAGCCGAGGGTCTTTCGGAAACAACCTCTCTACCTCTTCAAGGTAGGGGTAAGGTCTGCGTACATACTGCCCTCCCTAGACCCCACTAGTGAAATTTCACTGGGTTGTTATTATTGTTGTTGTATGTGATACACATATCATTTTTTTCATGTTTTATCTTCTACTTCGAATTTTCAATTCAAACCACCTCAAAACTTCGTCAAATTATTCCAAAAGTGAGATTCAAACTACTTAACATGTACTCAATCTATTCTAATAACACTCGCTCAAAAGAAAGAAAAAATTTAGCTTTGTTTTAACTACAAATAACTAATTGGCTAATATTGATAATATTTGGCTAAAATTAATAATTTTTAATAAATTAAATAATTTTTGTAATAAACTACATGAACATATATCTTACTTTCCCCAAAATTAAACAGCTCTAGATTAGATACTAAATAGTACTCCTACAGAGACAAATTCGGACATTTACTTCATTTAAAGCCTATCTCGCTTTGTCCTTTCCAGCCATATTTTTTAGCGTATTCTGTTAGAAAGAAGACAGATCAGAATTCTGGAGTCCACCGAACAGATAGATTCGCAAGAATAACAAAGGCTCGAAATTAGATTCATTTTCATTTTTCACAATCGTCGCGCAATACATATTTTGGAGCCAGACCGACATTACCTCAAAACTCCGGCGAAACCGCAGCTCCCGATTCGATGGCGAACCACATAGCCGAGGAAAAGCCCCTTAGGAAAATGGCGGATGCCTTCAAAGACCTAGCCAACACTTTAAATTCTCAAACCCTAGACGAAGCTGTTCAGCTGGAAGTTGCCACTTTCTCTCGCGCTTGCACTTTGGTCTCCCCTCTCTTCCGCTGCCTCGGTATCGCCTTCAAGTTTGCCGAGCTCGATTACGTTGCCAAGGTTATCCTCCCGTTCCCTGTGATTGTCGACAGTTTAATTCACTATTCAATTCGCTTTTTGATTGATCTTTTTTTTTCCGAAATTTTTTTGTTGTCATCATATTTAATGTGTAATTATTGAATGGAAGCTGGTAAATATTACTCCTTGTGAACCATAATATGTTTTATTTTCTACTTTTCAAAGGTTAAAGTGGTAAGTTTTTGATCGTACATTTTGTGTTGTTTTCCAGTATTCAAATTTAATTATGGAACTAAGCTATATTTGTGAGTTGAAATTGATTATCAAAAGCTGGAATGGACAGATATTATTAAATTTATTAATCTGATAACTTGTCTCATATGCCTTTTGTTGGGAAGCACGATTATTTTTTTGGGTATTCTCATAGTATACATTTCCGAATGTGGATATAGCTTAAAGCAAAAAGGCTTGCCCTTTGACATCCATTGATAGTTGGTTTTCCTTTGATAACATATGCTCGTGGTAGCAGCATATATTGCATATGAATATATGCATGTAGGTATATGCAGTTTTTCACAAAAATATTGCTGATCGAGTAATTGGGCAATTGTTAATGGTGACCACAGGTGGATGATCTGGCAGAGGCATCAAAGTCTATTACAACATTGAAAGCGATGATGGATCAAGATGTTCAAGCAGACTGTGTGAGGAGGGCAGGTAGTCATACAAGGAACTTGTTAAGAGTTAAACGTGGGCTGGATATGGTTAAAGTTTTATTCGAGCAGATTATAGCCTCAGAGTATGCTTATTATCTTTTTTCCTTTATGCTTATATTCACAAATTCTTGAAAATCAGTTTCTTGGCTGATAACACCTGAAAATATCCTTTATGAAAAGCTTTTCTTGGCTGAGATGCTTGGAACCAAAGGCATGGTATTTACAGTGTTCTACGTTCTTATTTTTCTGATGTTGTTGCAAACTTTGACTAAGTCCTTTTTGATCCAAAATCCAATTGATTATTCTATGTTTGAGTAATTTTCAATTTCTGTGCCATTCTTCTGGCAGGCCTTTGGTATATAAACTGCCTGCTTAGTTAATACCATGGGCCTATTTCTTCTGGGTTACAGACAGGTCAGATGTCAACATCTGTGAACATCAGATTTGCAGATGTTCAGAGATTCACCTGAACAACATTTCTCTTGTACTTAGAAAGGGGAACAGAACATAATGAGGTAGAATACCAATCAAAATAAAATATACTCCTATTATGACAACAGCAATTTCCAGCAACAGGGACATACATACATGAAATTCCATAAACTTGTGGATTGACTGTACAGATACCTACACCAGTTTTAGAAACCCAAGACCGTCTTTGAACTTTCCCTCTCTTCTCTGCCTCTAGACCACTACTGTAAAGGCATTGCTATAAGGTGTAGCCAGTTCTTCAGGAAGAAAGAAAGAAACCTCCCTTTAGCTTGGTGTTGAGGAATATTATGCAGTCGAGGTTGAGAAAGAGATTTGAGGAAGCATACAAGTTCTAGGTTTTACAACTTGGTTTTTCACCAGGTCTTTCTCTTCATTGCTGCTGAAGAAGAATAAGAGAAAGAAGACAGGAAGTTATGAGCTTCCGTCAAAATGATTGGAAAACAGATGTTATCCAAGCTCAGATGATTTGATGGTTAAGATGAAGAAGTCTGACAAGAAGAATCAAAATTAAGCATGAAATTTGCAATGGGGAAATAATTTATCAACTTATTTATTTATTATTGCTAACTTTCTTGATAGTATGTCTGGTCATTACACAATAATGGGCCCCCAATTTGCTTGGTTAAACTTGTTACGCGCTTGACTAACATCTGTATTTCATCTGCAAGAACATTACCAGTTGTGCTCATCTTTGAACCTTTTGGATGGACAGAGTATCATAACACTTGTTAACGGAACTTTGCATGCTCGACTAACTTCTGTATTTCAACCTGCAAGAACATTACCTAGTTGTGCTCGTCTTTAAACCTTTCAGATGGCCAGAGTTTCATAAAACCTTTTAATGGAACTCATTAATACCTACTTTTCCCGCCAGAGAAGCAATACTATCTCTTTTCCTTCTCTAAAGAGGGGATTGGGAGGAGTAGGCGTGAACTTCATGTTAGCAGTTTGAAACATGACTGTCCCCAAAAAAGCATATTTGCATATTTTAAAATCTATGAAGGACAGTGAAAGAGTACTTGATGCGTGTGTCAGCTTTACTTTGAGTGAGAAATGTCAGGTTTTTGCGTAACCTGATGGATGTTCACATGAATCTACCCATATGGTCGGGAATCGTTAACATAGGTTGATGTTCATAAGTAATTTTAGGTACTAAATTTCAAAATTTAGTTCACTTGTTGACTTTAAGGTGCATGGAAGTCAGTGACAAGTCACAACATGTTATGGAGTTTTATTCTAATCTGCAAATCAGTTGCTGTTTAACACGGTGGATATTCACATGAACCTGCCCTTCTGGTGGCCGATTTGGCAAGGATAGATAAATCTCAAATTCTTGGTTTGTTTGTTCATACTTCTTAGGTGCAGAGAAGTAGCTATATATTGTGAAGTGTTATTGCAAAACTTTGAGATTTGCAGTATTTGAATTTTATCAGTTGATGTTCACAATTGGTAACTGTCTTTTGGCAGGGGGAATTCCTTGAAGGATCCAGCATCAAAAGCATATCAACAAGTGTTTGCTCCATATCATGGATGGGCCATCAGGAAAGCTGTGTCTGCAGGAATGTATGCCCTTCCCACCCGGCAACAGCTGATGAACAAGCTTAATGAAGATGGTGAGTGGCGATTCAACTTAGTTTCTGTACCTCTGACCCAACCAACAACTCACGTACCCTGAAACAGAATTCACGTCTAGTGCACTTTCTGGCATAGTAACTTTTGTTCAGAAGTGAACTTGGTTTGCGTTTTTTGCCAGAGCCACAGCTAATGAAAGGGGTTCAATTGAATCCCCTTTGTCGGAGAACCGTACAGCATAAATAGGGTAAAAGATGATTTTTTTCATATATACATATATACTTTTGAATCCCCTTGTAGTGGCAAAGATAGTTCAAAATTTTCTTTAGGTCTCAAGTTCTAATTTTTTGAATGCCCTAGTTAAAATTCCTGCATCTACCATTATTTAGCTTTGTCCAATTCGTTCAGTAATTTGCTTAGATTCTTAATGGCACAACCTGTTTGGGCTAAAAATGAATTATGAATTGAAATACCAGAACATCGTAATCCTGATTGTTGGATAGCCACTCCCTCCTATACTACAACACCAAAGTTCAAATATCAGGATTTTTGTTTGTGTCTGCCTCTCCTATCACCCTTGCGAAGGACTTCCATGACAGAAGTCTGAAATTTCATATCCTGCTTGTTTTATTTCTTATTTGGTTTTAGCTTCCTAATTGTTGACTAAGGGGGTCAAAACTGAGTTTGCACCTTTTTTGGTTCAGGGAACAAATTGTTCCTATTATACTGATTGTACTTTCCCCATTTATGGGATTAAACTGGGTTTTTTGTTATTGTTGTTGTTGTTGTATACTGATTGTACTTGTATGCTGACAAGCTCTTCTCGACAGTTGTTCATTTCATTCGATCTCGACCTACATTATTGTTACCTTTTACTGTTCAGAATGGGTCCGTAGACACACCTCATATCAGTGCTCATGGCCACCTTTATCTTTCTGTCTCGCATCCTATCTAATGCCTTATAGTCCATGTATACTGGTAAATAGGTCACCGACCTGTTCCGGTGGTTGTTTCTTTTCATTTTTGTCTGATGAGTTTGCTGTTTTTCTCTGTTATTTTCAGAAGCCTCTGCAAGAACTCAGATGCAAAATTATGTCGCCTCATCTGGCACTGTCATTTTGTACATTGACAAACTCTTCATCTCAAGAGATTTGGGTATCGACTGGTGACCCTGAACTGGATGACAAAGCACCATTTGTTTATCGTGATTCGCCTCAAATCACGATTTACGTTAATTTATAATCATGCAAAACATTTGTCCAAATATTTGATTGTAACTTGTAACTAACTTCATTTTTTCGGGGCTAGTGCACACATAGCTATTCTCAGGGATGCTATTTAGAGATTAACTAGTATTTATTTTGTCCTGAAATTTTAAACTAAAAATCTTAACGACAATTCAGTCCTGAAAAAATAAAATACAAGATGCATTGACTAATTTCTGAATAGCAGCCTCTTAGAGTGGCTACCTCGTGTCATTTCTACCATCATCTTTAATAGCATGGAAAATGAAAAAAATGCCCTAGAGCACAGATCATCTACCAGCACTTGGGGCGGGGTTTTAGCTCATCATTTTGGAAAGAAAACGAAAATATATCAGTTTGATTTCACCGTCTTCCAGTGTCTTTGGCTCTGCCCACGTAGAGAAAAACTTTTATTTACCAATGGTCTTAGCCTGGTAACCAAGGAGGTCTCAGGTTTATCTCCATTTGAGCATGGAACTATGTTCAGCTTATATGCTGCTGCTGGTGACCGCTTAACTCGGGGTAGCAAAATATTAGCATGTTTCGCATGACATAATTCATTTGTGATCGAAAATGTCTCCAATGTTTGGCTGGGGCATGAATAAATAATAATTGTAGCAAATCAGAGTGTGTTTTGATGAAAATTTTGAATTCTAAATATTATAATAATGTTTAACTGTTAGTTGAAGCAACTAATATTAATGAATGTCACATAGTTATAAGAATAGTACTTCCGCAGCATAAGTGAGGAAAGCCATTTTCCATCAGATGTTGAAAATATTACTATTTACATATTGGAATTAATTTTATTAATAAAAAATTACGTGCTTGAATAGATGTGGTATAATTGGAGTTCTTGAAAAAAGCTAAAAATCACTATTGTCATTTACCACCACTTTCTTTTAATTGTAAAGTCATAGTTATTTCGATCACCTTTATCTTTTTTTTTTTTCCTAAAATCAAAAGTATAAAATATCAAAAAATATTACAATTAACCAAACTGAGTCTGCACGTTGATCTGCATTGGCTTGGGAACAGAATTATCAGAAAAGCAATTAGAGAACAATTTGTAACGCTACTCATTGTTCATTAAGCTATTAGCAATAGATTACTGGATTCCACAATAAGCCTTCACAAACCAGTAGCGAGGAGTTTTTTTGTGTGTATATACTCCATTGACAAGCAAGGTAAGAATAAGCACCGTAAATTTCACTTTCGAATTATTTCGCACAAAAAACAACACAACACCAGAAACTCCGCTCTTGGGATTAAAAAATTGAAAACCCCTGGTGTCTCCAGAAACGCCCAAATTTCAAGCAGAATCAGCAAATCAAAATTGACATTGACACATGAAAAAAAGCTAGTATAATAACAATTAACCATGGATGATGGAGAAGGAGGATTAAGCTTTGACTTCGAAGGCGCGCTAGACACATTGCCTACACACCCAACTGCATCAGTACCAGTAATACAATCCTCAGACCATTACAACACCATCACCACTGCGGGACCCGACCCGAGTGCTTCTACTGCCTCAGTCCCTACAGTCGGACTAGGGCAAGGGCAATTAGGCGATGGTTCATTTGTTGGGAATCGTAGAAGCTTCAGGCAGACTGTTTGCCGGCATTGGCTGCGGTCGCTGTGTATGAAAGGTGATGCCTGTGGTTTCCTCCACCAATATGATAAGTCTCGAATGCCTATTTGCAGGTTTTTTCGACTCTACGGAGAGTGTCGTGAGCCGGATTGTGTTTATAAGCACACCAATGAGGATATTAAAGAGTGTAACATGTGAGCTTCTCCCACTGATCTGTCCTTTTCTTTTTCTTCTTTGCCATGTATTTATTACTGCAATGTTTTAACTCATGCTATTTTCTGCGGGGTGGGGGGAGAGAGAGGGAGGTAAGCTATATATTTGCATACTTACATCACTAGCATGCTAGTAGGGGAATTGTTTTTGGATTGGAATCAAACTCATACTTAGATACTTACGATGAGATTTGAATTTGAGAATTGTCTGTTAAGTTTTGTCCTAAGACATTCGTGTCAATCTGGGTCAATAGTCGAATTTCACAGCTTATCTGCCTGTATTGTAAATGATGTTATATAACCTGGCTAGAATGATGGCTCTAAGGTCACTGCAACACTGCATTCACAGTTTGGGGTGCATTGTTGGAAATCTTGATCAGTACCGTGTTGCATGTTTTGGACGTTTCCTTGCTGTTTTATCTTTTTGCTCTTTATTGTTTTTTTCTTTGTGATCCTCATCTGATAATAGTTCTGCTGATTTGTTTTCGTTCAGCATTGCTCAATCTATGACTGAATGATCATTAATTAGGGTGTAGGTAGTTTGATCTTTATAATAATGATCGTTGAGTTGCTTTCTCTAAAGAAAAGTAACTGAAAAGATGAAAAAATGACCGTACTTGTTCTTTTTTCAGTTTTAGCACATTATCACCTGCCTTTTAATGTAATTTCTATAATGACAGGTATAAATTGGGATTTTGCCCGAATGGTCCTGATTGCCGGTATAGACATGCAAAGCTGCCTGGACCTCCACCTCCAGTGGAAGAAGTTCTTCAGAAAATTCAGAATTTGACATCCTACAACTATGGTTACTCAAACCGGTTTTTACAGAACCGCAATGCTAATTATTCAACTCAGGCAGACAAATCTCCTACTCAGCAAGTACAGAATGTAATGAATCAAGCAGTGAAATCTACAGCTGTAGAGCCACCCATTGGACCGCAGCACCAGGCACATCAACAGCAAGTTCAACAGCCTCAACATCACAGTGCCCCAACTCAAACACAAACTCTTCCTAATGGCCAGCAAAATCAGGCGGATAGAACTGCAATACCCCTGCCTCAAGGAACATCTAGGTGTGTTCGAAGTTTCAAGGTCTTTACTTAGGTCGTGTAGTTAGTTCATGTACTTAAATAAGTGACAATAATTTGGAGTCTTCCATGTCAGCTTTAATTAGTTTATTCAGAGCCTTGTTAGAATCATATATGGTTCCACGTATTTTCTTTATCAATTCACTTTGTCCTATTCTTCATTCCGCTGCATGCTCAGTTTGCATGCCTGAGGAACTGATACAAACTATTGTGAACTCATTCTATGAGATTTCTGCTATAAATAATATATATTGTTGGCTGGTAATTACATGCCTGAAGCACCCTACTATGTTGGGAAGTTTTAGAAACCACCCAGAAGAATGATCCAATGTCCATATCTCTGTTTTTTACTGTATACTTATCTGATGTCCTTGCATGGGATTAGGTACTTTATAGTTAAAAGCTGCAACCCTGAGAATCTTGAATTGTCAGTACAACAAGGAGTTTGGGCAACTCAACGAAGCAATGAAGCTAAACTAAATGAAGCTTTCGATTCTGTGGAAAATGTCATTCTAGTTTTTTCGATCAACCGGACTAGACATTTTCAGGTAGTCTATTTTTCACCTATCCCATGAAGAGTTTTTAGGTTTTACTTGTTATTTAACAATGCATTGTTTGATTGTAACTTGTGATGGAAGGAATGTGTCTTAGAATTTAGTACTAATTCATAGAATTTAACATGTGTACTGTTTGTTAGGGTCTTGCAAAAATGACATCTAGAATTGGTGGTGCTTCTAAAGGAGGAAACTGGAAGCATGAACATGGAACTGCACATTTTGGACGGAATTTTTCAGTAAAATGGTTAAAGGTACTTTTAATTTCCTTACCTGCCCCACCTATATTAGTATTTCTTTCTCTTTTCCTATTCTTGCTTTTCCAATCAGGTCCTTGCATGGTTGTCAGCGAAATATTTCGTGTAATTTATTAGATTCTGTTCCAGGTAGAGCTGCGGTGACAAGAAAAGATATCTGGTCCCTCTTTCTGATTTATGCAAATGCTAATTGGAAGCTATTTAATGAATGAATGTTGTGTATTTCATGAGGATTAGTGACTCCACTTATATCCCTCAAGGTTTCTGGTTTATCACATAAGCTGTTCACATGACAATTGACCTCAACAAAGGTTGTTTGACCACGATTTGGGCTCAATCTCCCTCTTTTTTAAATTCATAGGACTTGCAGACTGCAGAGAGTTGATTATTGTGGTTTAAAATTGTTGTCAGACTAGACAAGTGACTGTTGAACTAGTTAGCTGAGCTAAAAATCAGTGCAACCAATTATTCAACTCGTGATTTTCTGTTTGATGATTTGCTGGTTTGGCTGATTAAAGATAAAATGTCATTCAGAACCTCTCCCCTATTTAAGTTAAGTTTGAAATATTTCATGTATTTAAATTATGCATCACCAGTTATTCAATCAACTGGCTCCTTCAGCTTTGCAAGCCATCAGCTAGATGAATTTCGATTTTACTTTCTGTCAGTACTGCAGGATGATCTGATAAGTACAGGGGTATCTTGATCAATGATTTGTTTAACTCACTGTGTAGTTGGAGGTCATGCCTCTTACCTTGTTGCAATATAAACTGATAAACTCTATGCATATGATATAAGTACCATATGAGAGAAATCCTTTTTCTTTTTGTTGCACCTTCTGTTTCACTTGAGGACTTTTAATCATTTTCCCAACTCTAACACTTACCTGTTATCAATCAGTGGCAGAGGCTTTTAAGTTCTCTTCTTTTTCTTCCTCCTTTTCTAAGCGGAATTGCTTGCATACATGAGGCTTAAAGTTCACAAATTAATTCTCTTCTTTTTCTTACCCTTTTTTTACATTACAGAATTGCTTGCATACATGAACTAACTCTGAGGCTTAAAGTGCAGCTCTGTGAACTGTCCTTCCAGAAAACTCGCCATTTGAGGAATCCATATAATGAAAACTTACCTGTGAAGGTATATTTAAGCCTTTACTCATTGATTATTTGACATATTTCAACAATTTTAGTTTCCTCTGTGGCTGCTCTGAGCATGCTGATGTCCATAGATTGATTTCTAATGGACATTGACAGATCAGGGCAGGAATTTGAATGTAGTTATGTGTTATGCTTACTGCTTTAATTTGCAAAATTCTTCATTTATAGATGCCGTTCTAGACTTCACTTTAAAGACTTGATGGACCTGACAGAACCATTTACTAGTCGAGTTTTCCCCCCAGTCAGATTTCGCACATGTTGCTCTT